GCGACGAGCTGACCTTTTAAAAAGTCAGACAGCATTTTCTATCATACTGTCCCCTTAAGAAGTAAGATGTTAGCACAATAAAAAAGTTTGGCGAAACGGAAGTGAAAAATAATAGAAAAACATGAGGTGGAGTTATAATTTTGGGACGTCGGCTAAGTGGCCTTTTGAACAAAAATTATTAGAAAAAATTCCTGGGATCTCAAGTTGGAAGTTGATGTTTATAGGAATTTCGTATTTGTATTTGACACACTGCCACATTAGAGACTTTTTCTAAAACATCTAAATTTGTGAGATTTTGGGAAATTCTTAGGTGGAGTTATAATTATGGGACGCAGTGTATGTATGGTACCTGGCGTATACTCCAAAAATAAGTATGGATAAGATATGTATTTGTGATTTTCTCCAGTGTGCAGTGTGCTTCATTGACCAATAGCTGATCCTAAGCCAAGCATTAGGTTGTCCCATAATTAATTAGACTCAGTTTACATTTATTGTTACAATAATTCTAAGTGTTGAAGGCGTGAAACATGTATTGCTAACAATGTGTAGTAGCCCCTTTATCCTATTGTGTATGAGCAGTTAGCTAGCTCATTTCCACGGTGCCTTCCGTGGCTACCACTCCATTTTTTCTAAACCTATTTTTGAGCTTTCCTCTTCATCACTTCTGATTAGGATCTTTCAAACGCCAAACAACATAGAGATCAACCAGCAGATAGGCGAGGGCACGCTCCTTCAATCCATGGCACACCTGGTTCACTCTATCCCAGGGTTAGCTTTTTATGTGAAGATGGCCACCTCTCGACAAGCAACCTCACTGCTCTACCCAGCGCCACTGAGATGGGTATAGACAAATTGACCGCTGTTTGTCAGAGTGTATCCGCCTTGTTAAGATAATGGCAGTTAAATGTAAAACCGAAAAGAGTGATCATTTTGTCTTGTGTGTAGGATTAGTATTATCGAAACTAACGCTTATGTTCCGTTCTTTTTGCTATGCTCATGAGGCTAGGGGCCTAAGGTATCGTTTTTCTGTGGTAATGGAGGCGGAGCTTTTTCCGTGGAAGATTCCTTTAAAGCCTGAATCAGCATCGTCATGCTCCTTCTGATTTCCCGGGTTCCTTTCAGTGATCATCCTGCATACTCACCAGTGTTGTGACTGGGTGGAGTGTGCTAGCAAATCCACAAGGAGCAGTAGCCTAGCTCAAACGATTCGGGAGTTCTGACAGCAAAAGCCCAACCTCCTCTAAGTCCGACACTTCTGAGATGTTGGTGGAGCACGAAAGGACCTTGCGCTGGGAACCGCCGCCCAGTAATACTAGAGTCACTGAAGAAGATCAACATCTACAGCGTAATGGCGGCGCATTCAATTTGAAAGTAAAGCAAGACAAAGTCTGCTTTTTTCCTGAGGTCGTTCGACCCCACCTTGCGGAGAATATTCATAAAAAATTGGAGACTCTCAGGCTAGCAGTTCTTCAGCTCCTGCCGTGTAGCCCTATCCTCGTGCCAACAACAACCCAGTCTGTGTTCAGCACTCCCCTTCAGGAAAATGTTAACGCTAACCATAAATAACACAACCTCATACCGATTTTCGGTCTTTCTTCAAAAAAGGCCATGGAATTCTAGAGTAAAGACAGCGACTAAGGTGACCATGTATAGGCAATATTTTGTAGATAACAGAGGTGTATGTTGGATGAGCAAGACTTCAGATAAAAGAAAATATTAAAATTGAAAAATACCCAGAGTGAGTCACTGATTATGGACAACCTTGAGCCTGCTGGACAAAGTTGTTTTGACAATTGTACTGCTACGATACCGCACACCATAAGTTACCTTCCAGTTTGAAGGAGGATTTTGCAATTTGGAAATGGGTAACTTACCTAGTGGGAAGACAGGTGGCCCTCTTTAGGGTGTGGTCCGACACGATATTTGCAGCGAGGAATGCCCTGGCGATCTAGCATGGCCCACCCGCGGCGCTATCGGCGCGTACGCCCACTAACTGGCTAACCACTTGCCGCATGTCTAGCCCCTTATCTTTAGCAGAGAGAGCGTTAGCGTTGAAGAGGGCAGCACCGATGAGAGTCGCATCAGTGCAGAAATCGACGGGCAGGGATCTTATTTCTCGGGTTCTCAGCCGTTTCTCATGGTTATTTCTGGTTAGTTCTTCATCCCGGCATCACTGCTCATCTCTACCTTGATTCTGATGGGCTTCGTTCCCCAAATTCCGCCTATAACCAAAACAGAAGTATTTACAGAATCTTGACTTTTACAGCTCGAGCAGTTCTAAAATTACGAGGTCTCCGTTTTCTC